TATTCTATCTATCTTTCCCTTCCTTTTAATTGAAAGCCGCCTAATCTTTGAGGTCAGGCAGCCTGAAAATTAAAAGAAAAGAAACATTCAGTCTACAGTAACAATGTTGAAAACCTGGAAGGGTCTAGTTAAAAAGAAAAGCTCTCAAAATGGCTGCCATCTGCAGGATTATATAAATCTGTGTCATCTGCTTGCAGGAAGGCAATTGCTTCAACTATGTCAACAAATATTACTACATAAACCTAATATTAAGGTATTGTATTTCATTCTGCCGCCAAAGCCCAACAATATAATGGAGGTGAACAATATACGCCTATTATACTGTTTAACATGGCTCTGCCCTGGAACAAGATCTAGTGATCCACTCCAGTTTTCTCTACCCAAAAGCGTTAAGGATCGACTCAAAGATGTAGGAGTTATGGTATTGAGCAGTATGTGCCTCTGGCTTGGGAGGTACCTATAAATCTGCAGGGGAAGAGCAAAGAGACTATCATACTAGCAGAAGCATCCATAATGTGGATGGGGTAAATCCTAATGGTCCTTCAGCCATTGACACTGCTCCTAGTGAAAAAAGAGCTCTCCAATGTTCAAAATTGGGAACATGGAACATCAATGGCTTAAATCTAGGAAAGTTGAACATTGTTAAAAACAAAATGAATAGGCTCAACATTGATATATCAATCAACGTTGATGTACCAGACATCAGTTAAGCTCATTGGACTGGCTGTAGCTTCTTCAACTCTGATGGTCATATTCTATACTACTCTGGCAACGATACCATCAGAAGAGGAGTAGGTTTCCTACTGTATAAAAAAGTGGGCAAAACCATGGAAAGTTTTCAAACAGTCAGTGACAGGATAATTGCAACACTTATCAACAGAAAACCTCACAACATAACAATTGTGCAAGTTCACGTTCTCACTGCAGACTCAACAGTAGAGAACATCAACAAATTCTATACTGAAATTCAGGAAACTCTTGAAACAAACACCGAAGAAAGACATTATATTATTGGAGACTTCAATGCAAATGTGGGAGAAATGGAATAAAAGGGATCACAGGCAAGTTTGATCTTAGTGAAGGAAATGAAGCAGGAGAACATCTGATTCAGCTAAGCACAATGAAGATGTGGTTTGAATAACACAATTATACACTTGGATAGAGAACCCAAATCAATTATGTATTACGTCAAAAGAAGTGGAACATTCCATCTTCACCGTGAAAACACTCCCTGGTACAGATTGTGGGTCAGACCATGAACTGTTAGCCTGCCAAAGAAAAGTTGCCAAAAACATTGCAATGTCGAACAACCACCCATGATTCAAAAATGTGAAGCCAGGGAGATTCCCCTGGCATTTGCAGTTGAAGTTAAGAACAGATTTGAACTGCTCAATATCATAGAAAGACAACCAAATGAGTTATAGGGGGAAATAAAAACAACTGCCATTGAAAAAGCGTAAGAACATATAGGAAGCCAAAGAAATTGGCAAGTTGGATGTCAGAAGCTACAATAAAAACATCAGATGAGAGAAGGAAAGCAAAAGCCGCTGGTGACAGGGAAGAAATGTGGAACACTAAATGCAAAGTTCCAGAGAAAAGCAAGAAAAGATAAAAGAAAAATACGGGGCTAAACAATGTAAGAAGCTAGAGGAAGCAGCCAGGAGAGGTCATACATGAGAGTGTTTCACTTATGTGAAGAAGACCAGAAACTCCTTTATGTCAAGAAAGGCTACATGGTCAGAGGATGGGATGGGAAGGAATTGCATGACCAACAAGCAATCAGAGAAAGATGGTGGAAATATGCAGAACTTTACACCAATGAAAAACAAGGCCAAGACATAAGAGGAAGACCTGACCTACCAGAAATGGAACCCGATATCCTGGAGGAGGAGGTAGTATGGACACTCAACCAGTTGCCTAACCACAAAGTCACAGGAGTTGATGAAATTCCTGCAGAGTTGCTAAGATCACTGTCAACAAAAGCACTGACAGCACTTTGCCAAAGTGTATGAAAGAGTGGTCAGAAGAATGGGGGAGGAAAATCAATATTTATCCCCAAACAAAAGAAAGGTGATAAGAAAGACTGTTCCAACCACTGAACCATATCCTTGATATCACCCATGAGTAAAATTCCCTTGAAGATAATCCAGCAACATTTTAATCCAACTGTGAATATACAAGCAGGATTTTGGAAAGGAAGGGCAACACACGGGATCATATTGCCAATCTAAGTTGGATGGTGGGAAAAGTAAAGAATACCCAAAGACCTCTACATGGGCTTCATTGACTACACAAGAGCCTTCAATAGTCTTGACCATGACAGGCTCTGGAATTGCCTCAAAGATTTGGGAATATCATCACACCACATCTAGCTCATTCGGTCATCGTATTCTGATCAGGGACTCTGGAGACCCAAATTGGTTCAGAATTAGGGGGGAAAGCACATGACATGTTTACTTCCTATCACCTATACTGCTCAACATGCATACAGAAATAGCTGTGAGAAATGCACATTTGGAGGGATCCTGAGAGTCAAAATGAAAGTGAAAAATTTGGACTGCACCTTAACATCAAGAAAACAAAGTTAATGACAACTGCAGGGAATACAGAGGCCAGAGAGCAGATTGACGAGACCATCAAAACAGTAAAGGAATTCATCTTCCTGGGCACAAAAATCAAAGTGGTGGCTGCAGGCAGTTCAGAAGGCGTATAGCACTTGCAAGAACTGTAATGTCTAACATGAATAACACCTGGAAGATTAAAGACATCAACCACACAACCAAGGGCAGATTTATAGTTAACACAATAATTTTTCCAACTGATACATGGCTGCGAAACTAGGACTCTGAAAAAGGCAGATAGGAGACGTCTTGGAACTATGGGGCTGGAGGCTACTATTACCCATCCCAGATTGCCCCCACCCACCCCTAAAAAAAAAACCAACCCAAAGAAACTTTAGGCCAATCCTCACCAAAAATATCACCTGAAGCCAAGATCGTCAAACAGAGGCTGTCATACTTTGGTCATGTCATGAGAGCTGATTCACTGGAAAATTAAATCATGTTGGGAGCGACAAAGGAGAAGAGGCCGCTCTAGTACCCTCTGGCTAAACACTACAAAAGATGACACTGGGACAACCCTGGCAGATCTGAAGGGGGTGGTGGGAGACAGAGGGGCATGGAGAGTACCGATCCATAGAGTGGCTGAGGGTTGGACATGACTAAAAGGCTGACAACTTCATTCTGGTTGCTTCAAGCTTGGGACCCTTTCAAAAAGTTCAAAATAGCCATTTTATGAACTTAGATGGACATTCTGAGCTTAACATGATCTAAGGCATGGGTGCCTAAAGTTTTGGCTTGCCTAGGCCACACTGAGTGAAGGGGCATTGTCTTGGACCACATGTGAAATATATATTGTAGTTATACTGCATATATGTGGTTTATATAATAATGTTAAAACTTTATGATACTGGGGCATGGATTGGAAGATTTAAGCTAGCATTCCTCATTTTTAATTTCTACAGCAGCTTCTCTCCTTTCCAGGCGCTCCAACATTTCAAACCCTCGATTCCACTTTTTAAAGTCCCATTTCTATCTTGCACATTATAATAGGACTACAAATTTGAAATCAAATGCAGCAAAATTTGAAATACAATGTATTATCACCCAAAATTCTGACAAAACCAGGATCCAGAAAATTGTCTGCTGAATTCAAAGTCCTTTAAAATGAAATTTACTTAATCAAGGGTAAATTATGTGAAACTTTCTTAACAATGAGTACAAATCTATTGTAATACACGAAGATATGACCTATGCCTCCATAAAGATCTTTTGAAGTCTGTCAGCTTTTCTCCAGATGGGGAGAGAATGTTATTTGTAGTTCAATACAATGGGCGAAAATATAAGTGAAAGGGTGCAAAAAAAAATCGCAAAAATGTTTAGACTTTTCCTCAGTGAGCCACGCTGTCTGGATTAATAAATACGTCTGCATCACTGCTTTTTCAACTGGGACAAATTTGACAAGGTTCATTAAGTTCTAAAAGTTAACAAGAGTTTTTTCTGACTGGATTCCCTCCAAGCTCTTTGGGGACTGTGCAGAAATGAATACAAAAAGGCTGAGCCATAAAACACGATTTACCTAATTACAATGGCATTCTGACACCCGGGCTGGATTCACAACGCAATTAAAACACAACATGTGAACACAGACAAGTGTTGAGGGGGGTCTGGTGGAAAATATTGTTTTATTATTATTATTATTATTATTATTATTATTATTATTATTATTATTATTATTATTGTTGTTGTTATTATTATTATTATCTACATATTGCATTATTTCTGTCCCTCAACACCGCTTCATCTCCCAAGTCGAAGGGCCTTTCACCAAAGCAACCCATCTGAGATAAATACAGTCGGGCTTAATTAATCAGATCAAGCCACTAATATAATTAACCCACTAACCCACCCAAGATTAATTACATCCCTAGAAGAGAGTGCAATCGTGCTCTCCTCTCAGGTCAGCCTACCACTCTGTTGCTGCAGGATCAAAGGGAGCCCCCCCCTCTCAGTGCTTTAAGATTTCTCCAGGCACGAAGCGGCAAACCACAAATCAGGACTACCTGGCATCAGCAGCCCTTTCCAAAATAATAATAATAATAACAACAACCAAAACAACAACAATAGTAATAAATCATCTCTGCTTTCTCCATTCCCACGAATGGAATCTGGACTTTGTTCACTTAGCCAAAGCTTTTCCCCATGCACTCACAAATTAACCAACTTTACCCAAGCCGAGGGCATGCCAGCCTGCGCGAGAGCCTCGCGACCCGGATTCCCCCAGTCGGGACGCGTTCCCACGACTCTTCCCGACTAGGCGCAGGTCAGACCCACCCAGAGAGCCGCCTCCGATGAGGACGGCACCGGCCAGCGCCCCCGCCGAGGCCCCATATATGCACCGGGCGTCGCGGAGGATGTGAGGGACGCGCTCCTGCAGGCAGGTGGCAACGCCAATGTGATAGACGCCCAGGAAGCCGCATCCCGCGAACGACACGCTCCAGCCGTCCTCGCCCTCCAGCAGTTCCACCATCGCGGCTAATGAAAAGACAGCAGCGGCAGCGGCGGCGGCGGCGGCGGCGGCGATAAGCACCCAAACTGCACCCGGCCCAGCCGCCACACTGGCCGCTAATGAAGCAAGCCGGACACACGCCTCCGCTTCGCCCCGCCCCTGGATGTGGCGCCGGACCCGCCGACCAATCGGCAGGGCGATGCAAAATAGACGACGCGGGGGGTGGGGGGTGGGATTGTTGAAAAGGTGCCGGGTGGCCCTCGCAGTTCCCTCTCTGTTTTCTTCTTTTTATTTTTGCCTAGACTACTAGAACCATGGAAGGAGAAGCGCGAAGGCCTCAGGCTGGAAACCGAGAGACACCCTCCCCCGCCCCCTCCCCGAGTTCGAGTCCTGCCTTGGACATGAAGACTTTATGTAGACTTAGACTAACTTTACTGTCACACTTTGAATGTACGCTAATCGGCGTACATTCAAATGAAATGTCCTTGCGCACAGCACTCAAAGGGTCTCCACCTCCAATATGCACTACTACATAAGCATGGCTGTCTGACCCCAAAAGGTGCTTTTTCAGGAGGCAACTGGACTTTCTTGTTTTCTTCTTTTGAGGACGCAGAGAAACATCCCAAGTGCTTCAATGACTCTACTTTAAAAGGATGCAAATGACCCAGCTGTCTGCGAGGAATATACATCCTTCCATTCCCAGCCCCTCCAATCCAGTCAGAGCTGAAGAAGCTTTTTGGATGAGAAGCGAAACGTCTTGAAAAGAAAAAAACCAGAAAGTCCAGTTGCCTCCTCAAAAAAGCACCTTTGGGACAACCATGATCTGGATGACTGAGACTGACTGATGACTGAAAAAATAATAAAATAGAATAGAATAGAATAGAATAAAATAGAATAAAAAGCAAGCTATTTGTGGAGCCCTGAGCCAGTCCCTCTCACTTAGCCTAAGGAAGGTAGCAATGGCAAGCATTTCTGAAAAACCTTGCTTAAAAAAAAAAAAAGACCATATAGGAGCTGACCCAGGCAGTCGCCAGGAGTCAAAGTGGCTCAAAAGCCCCCACTTATATCATAAAGTGCAATAAATCATAATAGTAATAAGCAATATTGGAAATATTATAAATTGATAATAAGAAAGGGGAACAAGTAATACAGCCGTGTTTAGGGTTACTCTTATTCATTCTGCATCTATGCTGTTTGCTCTGACTATATCAGCAGGAAGCCTGTGAAGATGGAAGCTAAGCTAATTGGGGTCAGAATTTCTTAGTAATTGGAGGGGAGACCACTAGGAAATCCCAAAGTTAGAGGCAAAGCTGGGAAGTTGAAAAAATATCCTGCCAAAACAAAAACAAAAGGCAGGGCTAAGCTTTGATGAAATGGGCCAGAAGGAATGAGACTGAGAAAGAGCTACTACCAAGATGTAGGTCAGATAAAATCTGAGTCCACGGCAAACCCTGCAAGATTGAATCACAATAGTTCTATAATAAAAGTATTCCTAAACTGCATGGCTTTGGTTTCTTTCTCTGGTTCACGCAAAGGGCTGACACCAATCTAAAAAGCCTGAAAGCACCTCTCCCCTGCCTCCCTTATCTTTGTAAGAATTGGGGAGCATCTTTTCTGAGATACTCTCTCAGGTTAATATTCTGATGATATTTGATCCTGTGCAGATGGGCAAGCAATCTCCCATAAGTTCAATGGCATTTCCAAATGAGAGCAGTTCAGTCCCTCACCTGCAGTTTGCCCCGGCAGTGTAATGCAATTTTCCTGCCAATTAATGTTGAGACACTTCCCTCATCCCCAGCCCAAAATTCATACCAGTCTGGTGCCCAAAACAACCAATCAAGTTGTCTGCATTACAACCAAAGCAATTAAGGCAGAATTAAAAATAAGCATCACTTCTCAAATGAGATACATAACTCTTAAGCAACATAACCAAGTGTTTCAGAAAAAACCCTATTTAGTAATAGTTCTGTTGTGTAGTGATGTTTGGCTATTAATTACTAGCATATTCTACTACAATGAATGTGGCTACATATGCAGTTAGTTGGGATCCACATCAGAGTAAAGATGTTGAACATGAGGCTGATCAGAGAAATCTGGATTGGATTGTATAAATTTATCTCTGGATTAAAAGACAAAATGCCACTGCTCCATCTTTTGCAGCAGTTTCCTAGAGGATAAGACATCTTCTGTCAGCTTTTGAGGGCAAAACATTTCAGTATTCAGACATGCTAAGCTGAGCTAAGTATCCTGCTGGTTTCAGTATATTTGTTAAATTTCCTAGCAAAAGAATAGAGATTCGATATGGCAATCCAGATCTACAATCCTTGATCTAAGCTCTGTTCCAACTTGCTTAAACTGCCATAGCCCAACCCATGGGCTTCATCGTGACTTTTTGGAGTGAAGTTATATCCCCTTCTCTCAGGATAGAGATGGGGTCAATAAGAGTCTTGACCAGTTAACCTGAAGCCCACCTACAAAGACCAAGTGCTTGGCTAGCAAGGCACTAAGAACACCATCTAAATTCTAAACAATTCATTTTAGGGCAGTCATCCTATTTCCTGACCTGCATGTTGCATTGAGAATCAATCACTCATGAAGACACACCTTTCAGATCCATGAGCTGTCTTGACAAGTTAGACAAGCCAGAAAGGGCTGAGCCATCTTCACTGGATCCAAAGAATCAGATTTCATCTTCAGGCATTTACATATTGAAGACATCTTCCCAATGGCCCACTTCTGAATTCTTCCTCTTCTTGAATTGTGGGCAAGCTGAAGTGAGAATTAAGCCAACAGATTGACAAAGGCCAAGATATATATATAAGTTTTCAAACAGTATAATTCAGATTGAGAGTGGTCAGATCTGCCCTCAAACTGCTTCAACCCTGATTTGCTTCGCTGTGATGGCAGCCTGCCATAAAATGTGGGGAGGGGGAATGGGAAGATAGGGAGAAGGGATGGCAGAAAACAGAGGTGCCATCCAAAGACAACGGTTGAAAGATTCAAGGACACAAGCCTGGGAATGGAATGAGAAACGCCCATCCAAAGAGGTGCCAAAATGAGGAACTGTTACCAAAACACTAATTTGAACCTTATGGCACACTACCAAGATGACCAAGGGAGGAAAGTCTAGGAGGAAAGACAATTACAGGGGTTACATGGGAAATCCTCAGATCTGGCTTTGCCAATGGAGTCGAGGGTCTTTCTTTCCTGATTGTTCAAGTTGGGACAGGTATGACAAAGAGTGACTCCTCCTCTTAAAGAGAAATCTGGAGATGCCGCCTTTTACCTTCCCTCAGAGGAAATAGGACAGCATTTACAAAGTAAGATTTAAGCTGCTTTCTTGGCAGCTTTACAAGGCCGCTCAGGTCATATTTCTTACAGGACATACCTATCTTGTGGATTAAGGTCCGTTAAGCCCGTTAGGGTTTTTTTATTGTAGTTTCAGTGCACCTCATGTTAAAGAAGCTTCTTTTATGACCATTTTTAAGCTGCTTTGGTCAGGTAATGTGACCAAAGTTTGGCTGTTTATAAAATTTGACAGGAGACAAAGTCTAAATGAACCTTTTTGTCCTCTGATAGCAAAGTAGTGTACATAATTTCATTGTTATCTTGTTTGTTGAACTTTTAAAGAGGGAGTAAACTATCCAGTGATTCCCCTCCCCAATTTTTTTAAAGAGTTAAAACATAAACTCACATAAAAACAACTAAGAACAGAACAAAATTAAACAGGACAAAAAACAAAAATACAGTAAGTGCATTTAGAAAAAAGGCAATACACATGTCTTGTCCATTGTCCCCCACCCTCCATTGAATGTTGATAAATATATTACAACATTTGTGGTTTCCCCCCTTGTCAAACAGGTCTACAATATACAAGCTTTTATAACTCTGTTCGTAAAAAGAAAAATAATGTAGAAAGTCTGCAACAACTTATCAAACAGATCAGGATATTTTATCCCATAGTAGAGACAAAGGGAATTTCCTGTCTCTTTAAGGAAAAGAAAAAAACAGAGAAATATTCAAAAATAAAATGCAGTAAAATAGCAACATTCTTGTAAAACTAGTGAAATACAAATTCCTTACTATAATAGTCCAGCGTCAGTCAAAACACTTTCAGTACAAAGAAGAAACCTTCACATTGTCAACTTCCATGTAGGTAAAGCAAAAGTTTTTTCATGGCTCCGGAAAAAAAACTGGTAAGAAAAAATTAAAAACAAACGAACCTCGCATTAAGGAGCCTCTGTGGTGCAGTGGTTAGAGTGCAGTACTGCAAGCTACTTCTGCAGCCAACTGCCTACAATTTGGCAGATCGAATCTCACCAGGCTCAAGGTTGACTCAGCCTTCCAACCTTCCAAGGTGGGTAAAATGAGGACCCAAATTGTTGGGGGCAATATGCTGACTCTGTAAACCGCTTAGAGCAGGGGTCGCCAACCTTTTGGACCTCAGGGACCACCAAACTCATAATTTTAGATCCCAGGGACCACTAACTGGTTCTGTGGGCGTGGCTTAATTTGTGGGTGTGGCTTGGCGGTCATGTGACTGGCTGGGCATGGCTTGTATGTAAATATTATAAATATTTATATAAATATTGATTTTTTTATAACAAGAGAGCAACTTTTACACAAAATCAGGCAAAGCAGGCAGATTAAGGTGCTCACAGAATCATTCAGTGATCTATCTATCTGCCATTGGCTAGCTCAGTCTCTCAAATTTGCTTGCCTTGAATCTGCACTGAATTTGCTTGCAAGCAAACCTTCAGTCCTAAGGGAGGTTCGGCTGTGCTGAGCCAAAGATCTAAAGACTAGCTAGGAAGCAAGAAATCCATCCATTCCCTGCTTCCTAGCTAATCTAAATCTCCCAGCACAGCAGAACAGATGATGGTCGGAAAAAGGAAAAATAGCAATTTAGCAGGCAAGTTTAACGGGTAAGGAGTGAGTGGGCGGGAAGGGTTCCCACGGGCCATGTGGGCGGTGCAGCCTTGTGTTTCTGCATAGCCTGGATGAATTGCTTTGTGGGGGTGCTCTGGGGGGTGAGA